CACAGCGGGAGGCACCGCCCACAGCGGGAGGCACCGCCCACAGCGGGGGCCACTGCCCACAGACGGGAGAGGCTAACCTCATCCTTCATGTCCTGCTCATTCAGAATCTTGTTTTCCAGGTGATTCTAGATGCTGTCAAGTTTACAGCATTTGTCTACACATGTCTCTAAAATGGACAGTGGAGCCATTCTTTCTTTTTCTTTTCTTTTTTTTTTTTTTTTTTTTTTTTTTTTTTTTTTTTTTTTTTCTGTGTAGTCCCGGAACACTGTAGACCAGGCTGGCCTCGAACTCAGAGATCCCAGCACTGGCACGGCAGCTCACAACTATCAATAACTCTAAGATGCCCTCATACAGACAAGGATGCAGGCAAAACACCAGTGCACATAAAAATAAATAAAAATGAAGTATTATAGAAAGGCTGTATCAAACAAACCAACCTCCCTGATTTAAATGTCAGCCACACAACACACTTCTTCACAGAAACATCTATGTTGATACTTGACCAAACAACTGAGCGCGATAGCTTCTAAGTTGATGGGTCCCAGGCCCAGGGAGGGTGGCAGCCCACACCAGATCCTCCCGATGGTGCTCCTTGGAGGCTAAAGATGGCTGTGTGGAAGTGGGCCCGGGCTCCAAGGACTGCTTAGTCTAGACAGGTCACAACTGAGACAGTCTGGAGGCCAGCCTGGGCTACTTGACAACACCTGCCTCTAAAAACGAGGGGCAGCGCAGTGAGGCACACGCCTTCAATCTCAGAACATGGTTCTGCGTGTTTGAAGCCAACCTGGTCTACATAATGAGACACCGTCTAAAAACAAACGAGCAAACACATGAATAACGGGCTGCCCCCAAGGGACCTGGTGAGACAATTCCGCAGGTAAACAAAGGCTCTCTCCCCGATGACCAGAGTTTGCTCCTGAGACCCACAGGTGAGAACCAGCTCCCACAAAGACGTCCTCTGACCTCCATGCCCACGCCATGACACCCCCCCACAGACACAGAATAACTGCATTAAAACAAAGACAAGAGGCTGGAGAGATGGCTCTGTGGAGAGGGTTTGGGCTCCAGCCTTAGCTCCCGAGTGCAGCTGAAAACAGTAGCTCCAGCTCTGGGGATCCAACATCCTTTCTGGGCTCCCTGGGCGCCAGGTATGCAATTGCAAAACACCCACAAAATAAAAATAAATAAAGTCTCCACAACTACAAAAATCCAAAGATGGTGGGCTTGGCCACATCAAGGAATCCAGGAATTTAAGGAGCAGAGTCAGCTGGAGCTGTTTCCGAGCTGAGAAATCACGACTGCATGGGGGGAGGGGCTCAGAAAGGCAGCTACTAAACCCACTCCTACAGGAACGACTGACTGACTGTGTTAACTGGCAATTTCCTTCTTGGGTTGGTCTCCAAACTGTTCTCAGTAACTAATATTCTTACTGTATTATAAGTTAGAACTTGCCAGAGCTGGGAATATAGTCGAGCTGGTAGTGCCTAGTCATCATTCTCAGAGCCGGGTAGTTGTATGGAGGCATTGTTTGTTTGGTGAGAGGGGGTTTCTCATGTAGCTCTGGCTGTCCTAGAACCTGCTCTGTAGGCCAGGCTGGCCTCAAACTCGGAGATCCGCCTGCCTCTGCCTCCTCGGAGTTAACTTGCAGTTAACTCCAGTCTGTGTCGAGTTCACACAAAAGCGCCTAGCCCAGCACCTGCCCCATTTGTGAGGACGCAGCCCTCCCAGCCGAATCACCTCCTGAAGATTCCACCACTTACTAACACAGGGAAGGCGGAGTCTGTGGGGGGCTGGCAAGAATGTGAGCATGGCAAGCGTGCCCTGCTTGTCTGCTGAGAGGCGGGTGGGGGGTGGCAGAACTGGGAGGAGAGGTGGAGGCGGTGGGCAGGAGACACGGGTCAGGCATGATCAGACACAGGCCATGGCGGAAAGGTGGCCCGGAGGTGTAGCACACGTGTTTTGGGGTTTGGGTGGCCTGATGCACAATGCTCTCCTGTCCCCTGGGAGTGGGGGAAACCATGCTACTGAACAGGTGGCTTTTGCCAGCAGGGAAGGGCTCTGTGGGGTCTGGGCCCACCAGCGGTCATTTCTGCATCCCCCGTGCTCAAGGGGAAGGTGAGACAGTACCTACTCTACGTATTGCGTGTTGCTGCGCTGGGGAGAACCAGACGAGTGAGCACCCCTCCTGTCTGTCCCTGCAGCCTGGCCGGTCAAGAGGCAGATGGCCCTTTGCCTCTGAATGGGACTAGACTATGAGACAGCCATGTCCAACCCAAACTGTCCTGCGCATCTGATTCCTACCCGCAGACCTCGGACTCGACACTGGGCTGTGCTGGAGCAGACCTGCTGCCGGAACCCTCCCCTAGCAGGGCCCCAGCGCCAACACAGATGCGATGCCGGGAACACTGTTAAGCAACGGGAGCCATTAAGGAAACAAGCATTCCCTGCCCAGCCAGCCAGCTGCCCAGCGGCTGTTCTAGGCCTCCTGCAAACAGTGATGTCATGCAGCTGCGGTCCAGCCCCTCATCCCTGGTGGACCAGAGAGCCAGCTGAGATCCCAGGCCCTCTCCTGCTGCCGCCCCCGCCCCCGGCGCAGAAACAGAGAGAAGGCGTCCACAGAGCTAGTTATTCATGTTGCCCGTCTGGGCCCAGAAGTAACGGACTCCCTGAGTCTAGAGGGTCTGAACTTCTAGCTCTAGCGGCCCAGCTCCCTGAGGGTATCCCCGAGCTCAGTCAGGTCTAGGGGGGGTCGCAGGAGACACCTCTTCCATTTCCTCACAGGGAACTGCGGTTTGGTGGGAGACTTGGCAAGGAGTTGCCCCGAAGAAGTGAGAAGGGGCTTTGTCCGTTAGACGGCCCCTTCTAATCCCTCGCTTCCCAGGTCCCCCCCCCCCCCCCCGTCTCAGCCGGGGCAGCTGGAGACCAGGAGCTGGGAAACCTGAACTCCCTGAGAACAAGCCACCTGCTTCTGCGAAGTTGCAGACAGAGTCTAGCTTTCTCAGGGGCAGATCCGCAGGGGATTTGCTAAGAGGCGTGATGGGGTAAGGGATATTCTGGAGGGGCCCGGAGGCCTGCTGAGCGCTGATTGGAGGAGAGTAGAGGCTACCCAAGGGGCGTGGCTTAGGAGGCGCCGGGGAACAGCAGGCTGAGCTCCGGGGCTGCTCTGCGGAAGCTTTTCATCCGCAGCATCTCCCTCTCCACAACTTCTTCACTGTGAACTCAGCGGCCAGCTGAATACACATCCCCAAAATATGGCTGGTGGCGTCGGGCACCCAGCCGGCCTTTCAGTCTGGAGATTTTCCTCCACAAGGCTCACGACCAGCAGAGGGCGTCACCAGCCCACAGGGAAGCACCCAGGGCTACCTACCCTTCCCGAGAGAAACTGAGGAGCCCAGAGGAAGCAGGCAGGAATCTCGGCGCTCTCCCCGGCTGCCAGCTGCTGAATTAGCAGTCTTAGTCAGGAGCCCTGGGTTCCTAAGCCCACTCTGAGGCAGTCTTTCCCTCTGTGCGTGCTGCATGGACCACACACACCTTTTCCAGAACAATGAGAGGCCCCCTCCCAGCTCTGAAATCCTAGGACTTGAGGAAATCACGCCAAGGACTTGGAGAAACTGCCTTTTCCGGGCTCACGCTAGCTCTGGGTTTTCCAGCGCCCTCTTTCTTAGGTGAGAACTTCAGCTCCGCGGTGACTTGTCACTTGGAGGCCAGAGGCAATCTGACTTGCACAGGCTCGGGGTGTCAGCACAAAGGCGGTCTGTGTCAACAGAGGGGTGTTATATGTGGGCTCCCTAATCGAGCCTCTGGAGGAGTCAGGCGGCTCCTTCATAGAAGAGGCTGTGCAGGGTCCCCATGGGATGAATATAATAGGACCTCTCGTACCTTCTGCCTTCCTAACTCCCCACCCCCTCCCCCGCTGCAGATGCCGTCTGCCAGGCAACAGACGATCCAGGGGTCCATCTGTGTGAATGCTCCCGACACGCTCCCGGTGCCCCCAGCTGATGGCCACTTGGTTAAAGGGGGGAGAAAAGCGTGGGGCTCCATCTCAGCTAACACAGTCTCTAAGCCGCCCCTACCCCCAGCCCCACCAGCCTCCTGCCATCTGGACTTGTGCAATTTCTGAGGGTGGAGGAGCACCCTCCCACCCATACCTCTTGTGTGGAGGACGCAGGGGCGCGCGGCACTCGGGGTTCCGGGGTGGGGGAGCAAGACACAGGGAGACAGCTAGGCTGGTGACCTGAAGCAGGGAGAAGAAAGTCTTTCCTGGCCTTTGTTCCCCTGTGGTGTCTTACACAGCAGCTACCCCTGCCCAGACCCAGCACCTCTGGCACACCAGCACGCCAGCGCCTAGCCAGCCCTTGGCACAGAGTTGGGCTCCAGCTCACTCACAGAGCCGTGAGACTGGCGTTCCAGAGCCGCCATGCCTTGCTTGGGCCTCAGCTCTGCCACTGAGTGACCGTCCTGGCCGGGCGCTCTGTCTGGGTCTGTTTCCTCCTAGGTAAGGATGATGGCGCCCGTTTCCTAAGTTTGCTACGGTGTCTGCAAAGCAGGGTGGAGCGGCTCTTTCCGGACGTGGAGCCCCAGGCTGCCTCTGCGGTGGCTAGACACGGCTACTTCCCTCTCTCACTTCTGTGCGGGCCGTCTCTGACGACAGACGTGGGTCACCCTCGCCTCTCCGACGGCCCGGCAACCATGGCAACAAAGAGCATGAGGATGAAGACAGGATTAGAGAATGGCTCGGCCCCGCCGATGCCCCAACTCTGGGCATCTTCCAAGCCTCAACTCCAGCCTCCAGAGCGGTGGCCCCACGCCTGGGGCCGGCTCCCTTGCCCCTAGCCCCGGAGGGAAGGCTGCCGCAGATGAAGCCTTTCAGCCCCAGCGGCTTCTGCTGGGTCAGTTTAGAGGCGCCTCCTCGTCTCTTCCTCGGAAACCACAACCCTCCCCCTGCACAGCCGCAGGCCCTCTCTCCCTCGTCTAGGGACCCCTGCAGTCTGTGCCCACCGAGTCTGACCCCCTACTTCCCCGGGTCTCCGCTTATCTACTGCACCCCGGTCTCCACGGGCCACTAACGCCGTCTTTCACTCCCTAACTTCAGATCCCATCCGAAGCGCCGCTCACAGATGGCTTCCAGGTAGCACGTAAACTCCTGCTCGCCCCAGATGTCCTGCCGTGGGCGGCTAGGATTCCCCCACTGCGCGCCCGAGTCCCGCAGAGCTCCCCGGAGCCCGGCCGGCGGCGGCGAGCTGTGGGCGGGGCTCGCCGCGGCGGTCCCCTCCCCTGCGGGGCGGAGCCTGCGCGTCGGGGGCGAGGCCACGGGAGGCCCCGCCCCGCCCCGGGAGTCTATAAAGCGAGGCTCCACGCGGCCCGCCGGGCTGGCGTCCCGCGGCCGTCGCCGACAGCGCCCGTCGGGCTGAGCACTGCCTCCGAGGGGCGCCGCGGCCATGACCCTGCGCCGGCTCAGGAAGCTGCAGCAGAAGGAGGAGGCGGCGGCCGCGCCGGACCCCGCGGGGCCCCCGGCTGCCGCCGCTCCTCCCGCAGCCCCCGGGGACGAGCTGTACGCCGCGCTGGACGACTATCACCCCGCCGAGCTGTACCGCGCGCTCGCGGTGTCCGGGGGCACCCTGCCCCGCCGAAAGGTGCGTTCCCCAACGTGCGTCCCCAGGCTCGGGGCCCCGCGTTCCCGCGGCGGGACCTCACTCACCCGCAGCAGCGCCTGAACGACCGCCGCGTCCCCCAGCCCGCCGACCCTGGGCACCCGCCTCCCTGGCTCCGTCCTCCGGAGGCGCAGACCTGCTGCCCACTCGGGTCCCGGAAGGCTTGTGGCCCCCGCGACGCCCCCAGCTCGGGTGGCTCTCCCCTCCCGTCCCCGCGCGCGGACGCCCCATCTCCTCCCACTCTCCTGCCTTGACTCCGCCCCAGCACCCCCTTCCTCCGGCTCGCTCCATCTGGCTTTCTGCCGCCTCCCGCTCCGCCCGCGGGTGTCCAGAAAGTCTAGAAACTCTCAGGTCCCTCTCGCCCAAGCACCCTCTCAAGTTGGAGCAGGAAGGACTAGAGAAGGAACCCCCGCCGCTGGCCTCGGACGAGTGGAGGCTCCGGGAGCCCTGGGCCGGGGAGAGGCCGGTGGTCCCTTAGAACTAGAGCTGCGAATTCCCAAGAGCAGGACACCCGGCTTCCCGGGCTCAGGTGCGCTTTGTCCCGCATCTGAGACGCGGGTTCTACAGCACCCGGCTCCTGGCTCCAGCCAGGACCGGACGCGGTGGGAGAGGTCACAGGGCAGGAAGGATGCAGGCCCGCACCCGCTCTCTGCGGCTCCCCCTAAGCTCTTCCTCCGGGGACCTGAGTGTTCCGACCCAAGACTCAGGTTAAGGAGACGGGGTGGGCGCCCCTTCCCTACGCGGCCCTCTCCTCCCCTCCTGGTCCCCTGCTCCCCCCTACATACAATGAACAGCTTGTTGAGAATTTGCATTTTATGAAAATCGGATTGAAAAACAAAGGGGTCTCTCTGTACTGCCCAGTCCTTCCTCCTTGGCCTATTTGGGTACTGTCCCCACCCTGAGGCAAACCTTTGGTTCTGGAGGAAGAGGGTCCCCTTCTCTTCCTTGCTTTGGGGCAGCTTGGGGGGGGGTGGCGGGGGCCGTTAGAGAGTGTTAACAAGAGCACAGGCCAGGAAGCCCTCAGGCTGTTTTGGCACTTGGGGAAAGGGCTGGTCCCGGATGGGACTTCCTCCAAGAACTAAAAGTCTTAGGAGGGACAGAGGTTGTTTTAGGTTATCTGGGGGACTCAAGAGTTAAGGATCTTCTCAAAACGAAAAACAAAATGAGCCCCCAGTTTCTCAAGTATAGTGAGACAAGTTTGACTCTGAGTTTTTGGGGTTTTTTTTTGTTGTTGTTGTTTGTTTGTTTTGTTTATCTTTGGTTAGTTAGTAATGTGTTTTGTTCCAGGAAAAAAAAAATGCATGGTGAGATCAAGAGTCTGAGGTTTGGGGGACATACAGCAGCTGGAGTCCTCCCCTCCCCCAGGCAACCTGTTCTTAGGAGATTTGACATCTCTACCACATTCAGACTGGCCCTGCCAGCCTCCTGCTCGGGCCCTTATCTTTCTGCTCCCCCAAACTACTGTCTGCCTGAACCATTAAATGGACAGGCCCAGGTGGCAGGGGTCCTTGACTTTTGGGGCCTGTGAGACCTGGGCTCCTCAGACATGGTCCCGAGGTGAAGATTATTCTAATCGCTGGTCCAGGTTCCCCGGCAGATGTGTCCCTGAGGTCCCAGGGATGGTGTGAGCTCTGGGGGAGGTAAGAGCAGCTGCACTAGTTCCAGGAACATCAAAGCAGAGTGGGCTGGGAAGGGAAAGGGTAGGCAGCGTAGTATGGCTGTGTCCAGAGCGCTCAGGTAAGAGTCTTCCGAGGTTTCTCAGCATCTGCTCAAGCCACCCTCTCCTTCTTCTCATTGTCTTTTCTGGCCGTTTTCCCACCCAGGGCTCAGGATTCCATTGGAAGAATCTCAAGCAGAGCCCTGAGCAGCAACGGTGAGTCACCCCACCCAAAGCCCCTACCCTGGTCCAGAAAGTGAGGGGGAGCAGGATAGAGCATCTCAGCCCAGCCCCCTGCCGGGAGCCAGGGGCAGGTGGGGGTGTGGGCTGAGTGAGGGGGCAGCAGAATAAGGGGTGCATGTTTGAGTCATTAGGTGCTCCTTAACCACCCCCAATGTGTGCCAGTTGTGTCTTCTTGGGAATAGCTGGATTAGTGAGGAGTGGAGGGTGGGAAGGAGGACACGGTAAGGGATTGTCCTAGTTTGCCCTCAGTGTCCTCCCTGAGCCCACCCTGTCCAGACCACGGGCATTCTGCGACCAGCTGTCGGCATCTGACAGGTTTTACCTCTCAAACCCTCAGTCCCACCCATGGCAGTCCCACTGAGGTGTGGACGGTGGACAGGTGCTCATCCAAGGACCCCAGCTCAGGGTCCCTTTTTGCTCACATCCTGTGGCTGACTTGGGCCTGGCTTCCTTTGAAATGGGCCAGCGCAGTGTGACCTGCTGGTCAGATTGAGCTGGCTGGCCCTTTAACTAGGAATCTTATATATGCACACACATACAGCCTTCCCTCCCCTCCCCGAGACTGGGTTTCTCTGTGTAGCCTGGGCTGTTCCTGGGCTCTCTTTATAGACCAGGCCAGTCTGCCTGCCTCTGCCTCCCCGAGTTCTGGGATTACAGGCCTGTGCCACCATGCCCGGCATACAAACTTATTTTGAGGTAGGGTTTTTTGTTGTTGTTGTTGTTGTTTGAGACAGTCTCTCTCCAGCCCTGGCTGGCCTGGAACTCAGAGATGCCCCTGCCTTTCCTTCCCAGGTGCTGGGATTAAAGGCGTGCACTGCCATGACTGGTTTATTTTAATATTTTAAAGGGTTGTGAAAACAAAGAATAGTATATGATAGAGGCCACAGGGGGCCTGCAAAACCTAAAATACTTCCAGCTGGCTCTCTGCAGTGACAGTTCGCAGACCCTCCCGGGAACCCAGAAAGCTCTGGGACAGGCAGAGAGCTTCCAGGCCCCTGCTTCTACCCTAGAACACACAGGGCTCTCAAGGAGGAACAGTGCATTGCACAGCATTAGGTGGCAGGGGGCGTGACTCGGGCTGGGAGGTAGAGGCCTGGTCTCCAGGGCCTTTCTGAGGCTCCCAGACTCAAAGGGGCTCGGAGCCACTCCGTCCTGCCTCTGGCTGGCGGGAAGGAAGGGGAGGAGGTGGGCAGAGGAAGCTCCGGGCTCCCCTGTCAGGCTAGGATCTGGAGGCGGTCCAGGCCATTGTGTCCAGCAGGCAGCCTTCAGTTCGGGAAGGGGTGGCCCCAGGCTCCCCTCCCCCAGCCTTCACATCTGGTGGGCTGGCCACACCACAGCTGGGAGGAGCGGCTGTGGTCTGTGCCCAGCCTCGTGACTGGCCCCCGGGGGGTGGGGCTGTCTTTTCCCTAAAGCAGCACGGCCAGGATGCTCCAGCGCAGGGGCCCAAATGGGGGCCATGTTATGTGGCCCCACTCACTGGAAGCTGGGGTGTCGGGTAGGCTCACTCCTTTCCGCGTGCCTCCCCCTGTGGGGGGCTGTTTAACTCTGCGGCTCCCTGAGGCCAATCGCAGTTGGGTTGGGAAGGGCATTCCACAAATCTGTGAAGAATGAGTTGTCGCAGGAGACGCTGAGTCCCTCTGGGATGTTCTAGACCAGACTTCCACATCCTTGAGACCTGAGCGGTGGGACTGCCACACGCCTGTTTCTGTTACTGCATTTTGAGGTGGGGCTTCCCTGTGTAGCTCAGACTCAAAGGAAGCATCCTCCTGCCTCAGTCTCCCAAGGTCTGGAATCACAGATGTGGGCCCACCATAGCCAGCTCTGCCATACTTTTCTTAATTCTATTACCCTTGACCCTCTGCCTTCTGCAGGAAGGTTCTGACTTTGGAGAAGGGAGACAACCAGACCTTTGGCTTCGAGATTCAGGTTGGAAAAGTTGGGCGTAGAGGGTGGAGGGATCAGGAGGCCATTTTGGGGGATGGACAGGTCTGCTTGTGTAGGTTCTGAGTGTGTCCTCGCTTGTCCACAGACCTACGGCCTTCACCACCGAGAGGAGCAGCGGGTAGAGATGGTGACCTTCGTCTGCCGAGTTCATGAGTCCAGCCCCGCCCAGCTGGCCGGGCTCACACCGGGTAGGCCCCCAAGCACAGAGAGGACGGGGCTCTGGTACAGAGCATAACTTTATTCCTCAGCAGAGGCAGGTTCTTGTCTGTTTATCTCCTTCACCTCCAACTCCAGAAGAATGAACAGGACCTAGGCTTTGTGGGTCACGCACACTGGCCGTTTGCTGTGGGACTGTGTGTGGTTCTCTTGCAAATCGGTATAGGCAAAGCACGGTGAGGTGAGCCCACGGTGAGGTGAGGCCCAGCAGGAGCGATGCTACTTCTGCACAGCTGTTCTGCCTCCTGGCAGCTGTGCTGTCCAGCTGGGCAGAATCTGGTAGAGAAGCATCCTGCCAGGTCTGCCTCAGCGTGGTTCAGGCAGACCTGTTATACTCCAGCTAGGGCACCTGTGCTCTGTCCTTCATCAAAGACCCTGAGAGTAGGGTCCCCGTCGGCCTGACACCCCGTGAACCCACACCCATTCTGTCAGCACAGTTGTCTCTTGGCCCTGACCTTCTCGTCCACTTACCAGTGACAGGCACTGCTGGGTGGTTTCTGGTTGTCCTTGTTGTAGCTACCACAAGGACCCATACCCTTCACAGATGGCAGACAAGCTCTGCAGATGTGAGCATGCAGTCTCGAGTGCCTGGAGCCTGTGCTAGCTCCCAGTTGCTCACTGCTCGCACCACGACTTCCCTGAACTGAGGGAGTCGCACAACAGGTGTGGGTTTGCGGAAATAGCTAATGCCAGGAGGAGCATGGGAACCTAGCAGGGCTCTGTGCTGGGGGCAGAGCTGCCTGAGGGTGTGTGATAACTTCTCAGACCCCTGCTCCCCAGACTAGGTTGCTGTATCCAGCAAGCTGGTGGTCTCTGTGTCTTTTTTATTTTTGTTGTTGTATTGCTTTTTTCTCTTTTTTTTTTTTGAGACAGGGTTTCTCTGTGTAGCCCTGGCTGTCCTGGACTCGCTCTGTAGAACAGGCTGGCCTTGAACTCACAGAGATCGCCTGCCTCTGCCTCCCAAGTTCTGGGGTTACAGTAAAGGCATGCACTGCCATGCCCAGTTAGGTTTGTGTATTTTGAGTGGGGTGAAAGCACCACCCAGGCCTCCCCACCACCGTGGAAGGGAGCTCAGGGGTGGTTCTCCAGGCTAGCAGTCTGGAGTCCTTCCTTCCTGAGCTGGGAAACAGGTGCCGACTTCTCTGCCTGGCAGGGGACACCATCGCCAGCGTGAACGGAATCAATGTGGAAGGCACCCGGCACCGGGAGATTGTGGATATCATCAAGGCATCTGGCAATGTTCTCAGGTATCCATGTCACCGTGCAGTGCCTAAGGGCTCCTGAGCTCAGCCTTGTGCTGTTTCCTCAGCCTTCAGGCGCTCAGCCTCTGTCCCCTCCATTCCTCAGACTGGAAACTCTGTATGGGACATCCATTCGGAAGGCAGAACTGGAGGCGCGCCTGCAGTACCTAAAGGTGAGGACCAGGAAAGCCCAGGCGCCACCCTCTTCCCATCCTTGCCCTTCAGGCTCGCTCCTCCATCTCTCTCCCTTGGCCCTAAGGCGTCTGTGCCTTTCTCCCTTACCTGTGTGTCCCCATGTCCCGCTGATGGCCTGCTAGTCCTGACAGCTGGCCGCGTGTGTCTTACAGCAAACCCTGTACGAGAAGTGGGGAGAATACAGGTCGCTCATGGTGCAGGAGCAGCGCCTCGTGCACGGTGAGTGAGTCCACATGCCCCTCAGGGCCGGCAGGCCTCTGCCCTCCACAGTGGAGCTACAGCTTTGGACACCCATACTGTTCTCATCTCCCAGTCGCCCTCTGGATGTTAGGCCTTTTGGCGCTCGCCTTTAATCCCAGCATTGGGCAGGCAGAGGCAGGCGGATCTCTGAGGCTCTCCTTCCATTAGTGAGTCCCAGGACAGTCAGGACTATGTGGAAAGATCCTGTGTCCCAAAGAAGTGTGTATCAGTCCTTTCTCTGGTCCGCCTTCCTGTCTTAAGTGTCTTGAATTTATTAACTCCAGCTTTACAGACAGAAAGGCTGGGGCTCAGGGCCCACGTAGGTGGCCCTGTGACCCTTAGCCCGGGGCGCTCTGTCCCCAGGATTCAGGAAGCTCCTTGCTCTTCTATCCCCACAGGCCTGGTGGTGAAGGACCCGAGCATCTATGACACACTGGAGTCCGTGCGCTCCTGCCTCTACGGAGCAGGCCTGCTGCCCGGCTCGCTGCCCTTTGGGCCTCTGCTCGCTGCGCCCGGGGGTCCCCGCGGGGGCGCGCGGCGGGCCAAGGGGGAGACGGACGACGTGTACCACACGTGTTTCTTCGGGGGCGTCGAGCCGCAGGCGCTGCCACCCCCGCCGCCCCCCGCGCGCGCGCCAGGCCCGGGCTGCGCCGAAGCCCCGGCGTCCGTGCTGTGTCCCGCACCCCGCGCCACGCTCAGCCGCAGTGCCAGTGTGCGCTGTGCAGGCCCGGGCGGCGGCGGCGGCGGGGGCGCGCCGGGCGCGCTCTGGACTGAGGCCCGCGAGCAGGCCCTGTGTGGCGCCGGCCTACGCAAGACCAAGTACCGCAGCTTCCGCCGGCGGCTGCTCAAGTTCATCCCCGGACTCAACCGCTCGCTGGAGGAAGAGGAGAGCCAGCTGTAGGGGCGCGGGTGGGCAGGCGGGAGGTATTTATTTATTTATTCATCGTATCAGCCCGTTCAAGAAGGGGACAGTAGTGCCAGGTCCAAGGACCTCAGGAGCCCAGAGCTGCGGAGAGGGTCCTTGCTAACTGGGGCTGGTCTCTGCTGAGAAAAAAGAGAGCCTCGTTGCTTTCTTTCCCCCCTTCGAGCGCAGCTGGAGCGCAGGGGGAGAATAGACGCTGGGAGTTAGGAGAGGTTTGGGGGCAAAGAAGACTGTGCCAGGCCGCACTCTCTGGGTCAGTCGTGCCTTGTGGGGCCTGCCCCCGAGAAGCCCTCTCCTCGGCTTTACTAGCTCCCCAACCCTGCGCCTCGGGGAGAGGAGATCCATGATGGGTCATTTCCTCACCCCACACAGACACACACACACACACCCCCAATGGACCAGCGGGCCCCAAGGGGGCGAGGTGCTGGTCCCCTCCCTCCAGCCTTGACCCCTAAGGGCTTATAAGGCCCCTCTCCGGGGGCATATGACTAAGTGGGGTCCTGCCAGGCAGGGGTCCTGGGTTCTGTGCTCTATGGGGAACAGGAATGAGTCCATCCGGGTGGGGTGGGGCAGCCTGGGCTGTTCGCCGTCTTTCGCATATGTTGCCTCTGAACCACAAACTGTATAAAATTGTTGGTTTTTTTGCATCTGTGTCAGCGTGGTGACTGCGTGTGGGGGAGGACTGTGCTCAGGCAAGCTCTGACTCCACCAGGCAGCCGCTCCAGACACACGCAGGCTGCACTTTACCTCTTACTTTTATCCCCAAGCCAGGGAAATTGTCAAGGGGATTTCGTGGACGTGTGCTGGCCTGAAGTGATGAGGCCCCACACCCTCTGTAGAACCTGGGCCTCTCACTCAGGTGCAGTTTTGAAGCTTCCCTCCCCACACGGATGCAGGGGTCACCCGTCTAACGTCCCTAGTGTCCCCATTGGGAAGCCTGGCTTCCTGGCTTGAGCAGAAGGTGGATCCGCCCAGCCTGTGACCGGCTCAGCCTCGGTAAACCCCAGCATCTCACGCCCGGGCCCCTGACTGCCCAGGGTGCTGGCTCCGGGCACCCCCCTCTGGGTCTCTGTGTTGGCTTCTCCACCAGTGACTCCTTCAGGGTTTGATGTACCTGCCTGAGGCCTGCCCACTCAGGCAAATGGGGCCACGCCCCCGCCACAGCCTTGGCTTGTTCCCTTCGCTCTGTGAACCGCCACCCAGAGCCGTCCTCCCCACTCCTGAGGTGCGGCGGAGTAGGGCCTGTCACCTACGACTGCTGCTCAGGGCCAGCACTCAGCTGTGGCTTTGGGAGAACTCTAGGTGGCCTTTCTCTGGGGACACCCCATCCCACAGTTTACCCTCCCTGTGGGCACCCCACTTCTTTCCCTGTTCTTGCTAGCACTCATCCTTCACACAGCGGTAAGGTGACCCTTTCAGAGCGGAGGTGGCTCCCAGCCACTTGGGGGGTGGAGGCAGAAGGATCAGGCTCAAGGCCAGCTTCAGCTAGCTACACACCAAGTTTGAGGCCAGCCTGGGCCACACAAGTGAACCTAGGCTCAACAACAAACAAAAAATCAAGGGCCAGTAAAATCCTCAGCAGAGAGAAACATGGTGTTTCTGATCCCTGGATCCACGATGATGAAGAGAATCAACCCTAAAATTCTCTGCCACCATGGGGGGCTAGGACACAAGAGCAACTGTACTAAAACACAAACCACACACAGGCACACGTTTGCACACGCGTGTGCGCTAATAAATACATATTTTTTAATTAAAAAAAAGTGTCTTTCTGAGACAAGACTTTCTACATAGCCCTGGCTGTCCTGGAACTCACTATGTAGATCAGGCTGCCCGGAAACTCACAGCAATCCTCCTGCCTCTGCCTCCTGAGCACTGGGATTAAAAACATGCACCACCACAGTTGGCACATAATTAAGAAAAAAAAAAAATCTCACCTGCTTTAAAACTATCATGACTTCCCCGGGAAGAAGATTATGAAGTTCATGCTTTCTACTGTGGCCCGTCCATCACCTCACCGTAAGTGGTCCCGGCACAGTCCCTCATCCGTGGGAGCCTGGCCGACTGCACAAAGCCACTCACACCGTAGTGGGACGGCTTGAGTTACACCTCAGAGCATCTTCCTCCTGCTTCCCTGTACGGCTCCCAGTTCCTTCTCCTGCCACAGATATTTAAACCAAACAACTCTTTGTGCTCCCATTCCCCAGCTCTGCCCCAACAGGCTTCCTCTGGCCCTGCCTCTTTGTCTACTCCGAAGTCCCCTCTGCCTGAAGTCCTAGTTTAAAGTAACCTCCTCCAAGGCTTCCCTGAGCCCCCAGGGATCGTGCCTGTCCCCATTATTCTTGAGCTCCAGCCCCTCTGTTTGTTTTTTCCTTATGGCACTTTCTCCAGCTTGGTAATCATGTTGACTTCCTGTATTGATGTTCTTTTGTCTGTCTTTTGCCGTGGTTGGGCTAGAAACAAAGCCTTATATTAAGTTGCACTGGAGGAGCTGGGGCGTGGCTCAGTGCCACAGACTCCGTGTGTGAGGTCCTGGGTTCAGCCCCCATCATGGCAATAGATAAAGATGAAAACCAACTGTGAGTCAGTCCGTGAAGTAAAGGGGCTTGCCTTCCTTGGGCCCACAGCTGCACAGTTAGAACACCCCTTCCCATCTGTCGGCCCCTGCGGCTGTGGGGAGGCCCCTCCCTGCTTCACCTGCAGCTGCTGTCTATGGTCTGTGACTCCTCTTACAATGTCCCTTTGGGGCTGGGCGGTGGCGGCTCCGTCAGGGCACCTGCGCCTTGCCACTGTGCCTTTCCTGGTTTGAGGAGAGCGGGCATCTGATGGAGAAAACAGCTTCGCTAAGCGCCTGTGTTTGAACAGCTGTTTTGCCGTGAGGCTGAGCATCCTTAGAGCTCAGGTTTAGGGGAGGAGCCCTCTCACACCTTTGTTCCTAGGCTGCCCAGAGAGCAGCTGCCTGGCTCAGGTCAGCCCTTGCCAGGTGTGGCAGCCTCCCGGGCCTCTGGCTTTCTCTTTCCTGAGAAGATTCCCAACCCCACTCTCACCAGCCTGTTCCTAACACTGTGCCACGCAGCTGGTCTCAAATGTGATGTCAGTGCCCCTCGCCCAGGCTGAAAGGGCTCCTACCCACCCAAGAGAAGAGGAGAGTGGTCCCAGGGTGGGGCCGGATCCCACCTCTCAGCTGATGGATGACGGCACCAGCCTCCTGCCGTGTAGGTGGGTGACAGGGAGTGACTAATGTTCGAGCTGAGCTGCTAAAAATTAACCCAAGGATCGTGCTTGGCGGAGGGGGTAGGGGTGTGTGGGAAAGGAGCAGGGACTGAAATTATTGTGTGGTCGGTGTTCCCCTGCCCTGCCTCCCTCGCCATTCTACCAGCCTTCTGCTCTGCCCAGCCCAGAAGGGGCCCCCAGAAATTCCAAGGGGAAGTAGGCTCCCCTGCGGGTGTCACACAGGGTGGGAAAGGATATGACCCTGCAGATGGGACTCTGTCTGAGGTCCCCACACAGCTGGGCACAAGCATAGCTTCTCTGGTTCTCCTGGTCCTGCTCCCTCCACCCTGGGGCAGAGAGGGAAGGCTTCCTGGAGGAGGGGGTGTGAGGTCAAGGGGATGGTGAGCAGTGGCCTGAGCCTGGGTAGCTCTAAGACTCACTTGTGGGAGGAGACTGGGGGCGGGGAGGTAAACAAAAGGCCTCCAGAGGGCAGCATCTGGGGTGTGCCAGGTCACAGCAGGGCAGAGTTCCACCTGACTCAGCGTGTTCCTATCAAGGTAGGAGAGAAGGGTGGGCTCTTAAAACTTGGTTCTGGGGGCAGATCAAAGGGTCTTGGGCATGGAAAGGGTCTTTGTCGACACATGTGAAAAAAAAAAAAAAAAAAACTTCTGGAAGAAGTGACTCCACAGTAATCTCTGTTCCCCCAAGAAAACCACACCAGAAAACTTCAGCTCGGTGACGGCAGAAGAGGTGAAACCTAGGAAGTACGGTCTGCTCATCAGCCGATGAGCTGCAGAAATGAGAGACATGGGATTCCCCAAGGTCAAGAGAGACGTCAACTGGCTGGGACGCCTGGCCTGGCCCTGCGTCGGTGAGCGATGAACGGTTTTAAGGAGGAGCTGACCTGCTCACAGACAGCAGACAGGGTGCCGACCCCTGGCGGTGACCCCAGCACTCTTCACCGCCGGCCCTGCCCACTCAGTCCTCTCCTGTGGCTCTTCCTCTGTCCTGCTCCACACTCCAGAATCTTGAGCCTTCCTTGTCGCCTGTCCTTTACCTCAATCAGCCCATGCTCTATTTTCTCAACATTGCTTCTTTTGTCTCATAGCCTACGGGCTAGCAAGGGAGAGACCTTGTCCCCAATCACCTCTGCCTCCCCCTAGCTCAGGGCCTAGCACTGAGTGGGAGATCAGAGGCAGAGATCGGAGCAGCTCCGCCCCTGCGGAGGATCAGGCACCAAATCCAAGACCTTGAATTCGCTTGACTTCCACAAACACATTTGGGGTCTGTGACCCCCCACCCCCAGGCTTCACGGGGCAGGAGGAGGAGCCACAGCTGCTAATCTGCCAGACAGGGCCCTAGGGAAAGACCTTAGCTTCAGCCATCTCCCTTTCTGGAGCTTGGCCTTTCCAGAGAGAACATGCAAATTTATACAAAAGTAAAAGTTATACAAATGTTGCCTTTGAGTCTCTTTCCCAACAGCTGCTGTATAGTCATGCAGTCTCGCTCAGATCCTTGGATTCACTTAGTTCTTAGGGTAATAGGCCCCATGGAATTCTCCAGATTCCTCCCTCATGGAAGGTCAGAGCCAACCCTAAGTTCTGTGGCCCCTCCCTTATCGCTTGCCATTCTGGTCCAGGAGCTCTGGGCTGGACCACAGCATCCCCCCCCCCCCTAAGTTTTTTTGAGACAGGGTTTCCCTGTGTAGCCGTGGCTGTCCTGGAACTCACTCTGTAGATCTGCCTGCCTCTGCCTCCTGAGTGCGGGGATTAAGGCAAGGCCCACCAATGCCCAGCTGCATTGTACCCCCAAATCTGAGCAGAATAGTGCACCCCTACAGTTCCACACTATACCTGGGAGGCTGGCACAGGAGGCCTGTGCAGCACAGGTGTTTGAAGTCATCTGGCAATACAGAAAGATGCCTGATGATGGGGGTGGGGAGGAGGAGACTGAGCAGGGGGGTTATAATCCTAGCACCCCAGAGGCTGAAGCAGGAGGATCTCAAGCTTGAGATCAGCCAGGGCTGCCTATTGAGGGCCTGTCTCAGAAAGCAAGAAAACTACAAAAATCAAAACCAAGGGGGAAAAATGGATTATGGGAAGGACCTATCGAAAGGGCGCTGGTGTAGATTATTCTAGATCCCTGGATCCATTCTCACCAACACCGTGAGCTGCAAATACTGACGGAACTAGCGGGGTGTGTCCCCGGGGAGAGGGACACCAGGGAGACCTAGGCCTCCCACTGACCTAGAGCCTCTCCGTGCTGTTGGCAGCCTCTCTCACAGGTCGGACGAAGCCCTTGGAAGGCTAGGGTGCCTTTGGACACGCTCAGTGTCCACCCAGTGGGAGGCTGGGTGGTCACGCATATGTGCAGGACCGGCAGCGGGGGCTGAGTGCAGCCAGTGCTCTGGGTGGCGGAGAGGAGGTGGACACCG